TCCAGACTCCAATCGCTACTATTAGGTAGCACAAGGATCTATATGCTGATAGCTTTGATGGACCCGCTCGTGCAAAGAGAAGTAGAGGCGCCTATAGCGCGACCTTGTGAATATTGCCGGAATGGGCACTTGTAAATGCTAGGTCCGGCTATACAGAAGATCCGACAGTGAACAAAGCAGAATATCATAGACTACTGTTCTGTTTCGATATTTTGGAAGGCTTGGATGGACGCACGTTTAGCTGGAAATCCCTTCAACATGGCGTCTCAGAACGCCGCATTATCTGCTGCCGCTCCGTAAGGGTGGAGCTCAGATCTGCTCTACCAGGATTTAAGGCCTTCTGCCACAATACACAACAGTTTCGTTTTGAACCATACTTCGTTGCCATTTTTATTTCCCACATCGATAAATGATCGTTCATCCTGGATCCACACTTTTACATCCTTTATTCATGTAGGTCTTTAAACTACATTTTGACATATCCAATTTCACACAAGGCCGGACCTTCGATCTGTAACCGCCTTGTAGATCCATATACCCGTCGTCAACGTCAATGACAAACTCAACACCGTAGATCCAAGCCTCATGACCCCTCGTGAGACAGTGTCGCTCCAAATCGGTTACGATTGGTGTGATCTCGCAGATACTCATAGCATAGTGCACCACAGGTGATATCTGCTCCACCCACCAAATTTGAATCTTCCTATATGTGTGCCTGTAGATCTGTCCATATGTCGTCCTTTTACCTGTTCTCATGTATGATATTCGGTCCATTTCGTATTCGTCTGGATTTTTATCTTTGATCCAACTATCTTCCGGTAGGAGCGCTTCATTAAAGTCAAATCGATCTGCAACCAACTCCACTAGGCCCGGAAACTCCCTGCACATTTGACCTTCGATAGATGCACCACCGGGAAGATGCTATAAGCGGACCTGGCAATATCAAGTTTCACCGCATAATCCGATCTTTTTTTCATCCAGAAATGTTTCATGATTCACACGCTAGGTCCAAGTACAATCAGACTCTTGATTCAGCATCTACCGGATGTAGGTGTACTAGATCATTGTTTGTGAACTCAACCGGCGATGGCTTCTCGTAAACGCCAGTTAACCTGTCCTCGAGCATCATAGTAGTTTTTTTATCTGATATCGCCATCTTCTTGAATCCCGACTATGCCAGCGGGTATTCCCAACAGGGATCACCGCTTCAGACGTAGATCGAGTATCCAAGTCATATATCATATAGAAAGGGGTTTGACTGATCTCTTGCAGTATAGATCGCAAAAGGAGAGCCGTTTAGCGTATTCGTCCTAAGCGCGTTGATTATACGTCTTAATTATGGCCGGACGATCCGTTCTGCGGACCCATTGGCCTTGGGCAGACAAGCCATAGTAACATATTTATGTTGCCCAAGATCTTGTTGAAGGACTTACGTCTACGTTCCACGAAAGAATAGAGCAAAAATTGAAGTGATCGTAACTTGTGAGCTACTGGGTCGTTTATTATTCCAAAACCAACATCAGAAAGAGGAAAAACATGCGCACCTTAAGTAGTTTTAACAGTGATCTGACCGCATGACCAGCTTGCAATGTCGTTCGAAGTACCTCCACTGTACCTTTATCGTCCTATCCGACGCCGCAACTCACCGAATATTTATCGTAGGGGAATCTAAAATTATGTGGACACTTGACTCTGGCTTCTCTATTCACATGCTCTCATTATAACGTCTGTAACGTAGTTTTACAGGTACTACGGAGGGGTTCTGTGGATAGCCAATTCCGGTATTACTTGCCAATCAGAAAGAAGGATAGATCTAATCCTAAACATAATCCTATGTGAGCCACGTTTTAGGAAATCGCTATGTGGTAGAGCGGGATCGGCAAAATCTGCGAAGATGCTGGATCCGGCTTACCACTATCCCCAGGACACCGACTAAAGGAAGGGGTACTCCTATGATCTGTGATCAGCTGAACTTCCTCACCTTGTGTACCCGTCGGTAGGGCTGGATCTACTCCTCCGGTAACTGCGATTGTCCAAGTGAATGAGGATCAGGCGTCTTGGCGGGACGCAGGGACGTGATCAGCAGCGCGGAAGTCTTCGCTCTGCTGTAGGTAGTGGGGATCCGGGGTCTGCACGAATATTCGAGTGCAGATCGCCGGTGGCCGGATCTTGATCCGGGCCGTGTTGAGTTGCCTTGGTGTGTTGTTCTTGAGGCCTTTGTTGTTCGTGATCCTGGGATTCTTTGCTTGCTTGCAGTCAATGACTGGATCTTGAGTTGTTGTGGTGAAATCGAAGGATCGATGACCTAGCAATAAATGTCGAAGATCCAGAGTTTGCACGTATAAAGTAAGTCACTAGGTAGTCGGATCTGGCCAATATATTATCCAGTTATCCAAACTAACGCTAGATCCTATACTCTTAACCCGCGTATCGCCTTGTGGAATAGGTATAAAACCCGATCCGAAGTGTCCGAAAAACACAAATTGTGGATCAAATAAAGAAACCAACCACTTGTGCCCAATGATGCAAATTTGATTCTCGGTTATTCCTAAGTCCTATATCATAGCCTGCCGTACCTCTACCGCGCAGGATCCGCATGTCTGATTACTACTTCTGTGGGAACAGCTGCTATATCGCAGGATCTTTGCGTAATCATCCGGTGTCAACACTCCACTGTCGGATCCGCCGGATCTAGATTCTCGCTTGACCTTCTTGATCGTCACCCAAATCTCGCGATCTGTAATCTCCAGAGGGCTCTTAATACGTATATGCCCAGGATCCGGCATGATCCTAATGTTTTACTGCGGATCCAGCTCCGCCTACCCCCAAACGTTACGGGTACCCACAAACTTTTCTCACCTGCGGATCCGGGCCTTCCCATTCCGGAACCTCGGTAATATTTTGATGCCCATATCTCTTGGATACATATCCACGTATATCCAGGGCCACCACTAGCTGTCAATTCCATGCAGGATCCGGATCGTCCAGATCCGAATATGTAGACATCGGTTCGGATAATCCTTCGGTTGCCTTTCCGTCAATCAATCTCTTAGTCCCATTCACGTGAAACTTTGAATCCACGTCATCACAGCTACATCAGATCGCTTCAAAACCAAACGTTGGTACATCTTCTTCGATTCACAAGCGACGCCGACATCTTCAATCCGAAAGAGTGGCTCTTCCGAACCTGTGGTAGCTTGTAGTCGTTCCGTCCTTCTTGCAAGACAACCACCTGTATAACCTTTTGAAGGGTTATAAAGCACCTGTCCATTGTCGCTGGGTTTAGATCCTAGAACGCCATCCGAACCGCTTAAATTAGTCCATCTAGATTACTCCTTGTGCTTTTCAGTCGCAATACTTGCAGCGCATTAAACACACCCAGATCCAACACATTCAAGTCAGGTAAGAGAGGTGGTTGAGACACTAATTCAATGTTCCAACCACCTTTTTCACCTGCTCTAACAATGACTGCATCGAATCCAGCACGAGGGATCCGTCCCGCGTTGTCTTGCTGAAGTTGCAAGACTTTCGTTTTCATCCCTAAAAGCATAAGTTAGATAAAAATGTCCCTAAAATATTACCTAACCAGACCATTTTTCCAGATCACCGGAAAATATGTTTTGGTCAACATGGTTTTGTACAATTTTGGTCGTGTTGACGTTTTTCGTCTCAACGTTCCAGCCGGTCGATTTTTGGATGTTTTAGAGCTCAATATTAGCTAAATGTCTATTTTGCCATCAAAATCTTTTTTGGTTCTGTATTGATACTGACGATGCGCAATAGCTGCTAAAACATTACTTTACCAATATGTATATATTGTTCGGTGTGGCTCGATATGGCAGTCCTTCACCTGGTGCCAAATAATAACTTGCAATACATTTACAGAGGTAGAACCATTTTCCGTCTATATGGATATCGTCGTACATGTTCATCATTCTATATGCAGATGAAGTACCTAAAAACAAAATTAATTTGTTAGCAAGAGCAAAACAGTTAAATGATAATTAATTTTAATCCGATTGAGTGCTCGACGTGCACTAAACAAAACCAAAAGTGATGGAACTTATGTGTTTCAGTTAAGGTAGGTTTTACATGAGCAACCTTTCGACGCAGCCATCCATTTTTATGTACCTCCATAAGCGAGTACACGGTATACCAGTTCGTTTGGACAGGGAGGCTAATGTTTGCCTCTCTACCACCGGGACCCCTGTCACTAAGGCAGCTACCTTTTCTCTTGTCTTGTTTGCTGGGCTTGGCCGATATGAACTGCGGGATGATATGGGCAAGCCTGTAACGTCGTGTCGGCCCCACCATATTTTCCATACTGTGGCGATACTGATGCCATAGCGCTCAGCAGCAGCAGTAACAGTAGCTTTAGCTCTAGCATCTACAACTGCAAAATCGGTCAGGAACAGAGCAACAAATATCGTAGTCGGTATAGTGATATCATGTTTGCCTCGTGGTTGAGGCATTTTACCATTTGCAGGATTGATTTTTAATTCACTTAATTTTGACCAGTAATAAAATTGTGTGGACCCCATACTGTTTTGCCTTGAAATGTCAGCTCACATTGGTCTATTCTTTTGTGGAACGGAGAAGTAATGAAATCAGACATAAAGCTTGGTCTTCGATCATGCCGGATTACATCGCTCCAAATCTACGGAACTCATTCTTCATAACTTTCGGTGATCGTATGTGCAGATCTAGAATTGCTATCCCTGGTGATTACAAATTCGGAGATTAGATCTTCAAAGATCAACACTTCTGTGTTGCCATTGTGAGATCTTGACAGCTAGGGTATCTAATCCATAACAACGACCTGGATTGAATATGTTGCTTGAAGGTTGCCAGGCTATTCATCCGAGGTCGTCTTTTACCGGTTTCGCAATCGACCAATTCCCCCATATATCGTAACACGCTCTTATATAATACTCTCCAATGGAAATGATCTCGTATCCGATCATAGGTCCGACCAAATGATCATCCTGTCGACTTGTATGTTAGGGATCCAGGACAGCTTGCTGGTTCGTCTCTAGCACCGCCAATCGCATCAATGTGTCCCGATCCTCAGCTGTTTCCTTGTTATCAGATAGTAGAAGAGTAGATCCGATTGATCTACTTCGTAATCCGTGACTATTGATCCAAATATCTTAGAATCTTCCTGGGTCAGATATCTGACTATCCTAACCAAATGCTCTTTCAATCCAGCGATCCAGGGCTCCTCGTCTTTACTTGCCGGACCCACTCGGTCTGTAGCTCTCTCACCACTTCCTGGGTAAGACCCTGCTAGCACTCTAAGCCTAGCCTTATATCGGGTCGTTACAGCAGATACATGTGCGATCTCATCTGCCCTCTTCTCTACCAGAATTTTATCCGATTGGTTCAATGGAACAAGCACCTGGGCCTCCTTAACAGTTTCCACCTCGATCCCAATTTGTCGCAGTACTACCCAAGTTATCGGCACTCTCATTCCAATCCATCATCTAATCAAATTCGCAATTGGTCCAAAGCCCTTAGCAGTGTCAAACCCGGTATCTAACAGTCAATTTCACTCCGTATTTGTCGGATCACCGTAAACACCCAGAATTTGTGTTAACGTTCCCCAGTCGAACTTTTCTTTCTTCGTCCGTTGTAATGTGGTACCAGTCTCTCATGGGTTTGAAAATCTAAATACACTGGATATTCCAGTGGAAGCTGAAAACAGGGCTATCCTTCAACGCGTACCAAAATAGTGTTTTGAATTACTTGGAGTATGTCATTGTTGCATGTTTGTTTCAAGAAAAGGGACCGTCCTTGGGCTAGAATATTACCTTCTTGAAAGCCTTATGTAAAATATTTTTGTATAGTCATTGGGGCCGGAGGTTAGATAGGAAATATTGAGATTCCGCGTACACAGCACACATTTCCTCGATTTCAAATCCTACATAGACATCCGTTAGAAACGGTACGACAGTATTGACCTCTTCCATTAATTCGACGTGTTCCGTTGACGGAGCTAGAGGATTATATGCTCAAGGGTTAGTTGTAGATGTAGTCCGTACTTTCGGTTCATATCGACGAATTTCCATAATCATGTAATAACCTTTGAGAGCCAACTATTGTGTTCGTGAGGTCTCTAAGGTCCCTACGCCTATTTTGCCACTGCCGGCAGGTAACGCTTCCTTGATTGACTTCTTCACAATATAGGCAAAGAAAATCTTCCATTTCAGTAAGGTCGGAAAGTGAACCTATTCTGCAGCTAGTCTTCTGCGCTTGTGTTGCTAAAGGCATGCTGAACATTTGGTGCATCAACCACTTGTCATAGGTTTTCACTATGTCCACCGCTACTTCTCCTCCCTTTCCCATGACATTCTTCATCCGCGAAAAAAACCCATCAAAAATCATAGGGAATGACTTAGCTACTTCAATTGAATTTTCAGTTGCTTCTTTCGGTTTCTAGTCTAGTTCAACTTTGCGTTTGATAGTTTCTGGTATGTTATATTATGCTTCTTCTGAGAGCTTGGTATTAATATTTCTTGAAATGTTAACAGCCGGGGCCAAGTGCAATATAGATGCTCGGTATTCATCAGTTAGTTGGTACTGGATGCGGTTGGTTCTCCGTCTGACGTTTTTTAGTGCTGGTCTTAGAGGTATCGAGCTTCTGCTTCTGCTACTTCTGGCCATTGTTACATGCTCTAGCCACTCTGATATAGTTCTCTTCATTGCGGGAGTGTCGATGCCCTTCCCCAGACGTACCGTAGGTGATGGTGGGTCTGGTGGGCCGCCTTTGGTGTCCATTAGGTCTGCACGAGACGATACCCAGTGCTCCAAACAAATGAACGTATACTATGAACACGGGAGAGCTTTCTTAGAAGACTTTTCGCTGACACCTATCGATGCCCTTGTAATGGGTTAGTCCCAGTGCCCAGATGTTGCGGATGGCCTCCGATCTCTTTGAGGGGTCGGCGGCTAATTTCAAAGTGGAACACGAACTCACACTAACGAGGCTATGTGTTGGTCAGGGTCTACCTACATACTGCACATTTTCTAACATTTAGTACACCATGCACGACAACTGGAAGAGATGCTCAGCATCCGTGAATTGTTATTTTCCCATGTGTGGTTTAGATTCTAGATGCGCGGGAAAGGCGGCGCTGTCTATGATGTAGCGTACCGACAGCGACCTAAGTGTGAAATACAGAATTAGCGATATCATCAAAAGGAATGGAGTACTCATGATATGAATTTGATAGCTCGAGTGGCCACAAATAATATTACTAGGGCTACGTCAAGACTGGGGTAGAATAAATTGATATCTTAGCATCACACAATTCCCACCATTTTTGGACTATATCCTCACTAACATCATAAAATAATTGCACAGCGTAATTAGATCATTTTATAAGTGTAATTTAGCAGTAACAATTGCATGATAGGATTTACGATTGAAGTCGATTTGGCCCTACAATATTCGACAACCAAAATAATTTATTACAAATATAATCTGGTAGGTTGATAATGTATCTTTTAAATATTCCCTCGAAATTCAACCTTCAACGCATGACGCATATCCTGCGTCTGTTACCGTAGCCGCAGCATCTGTGCAGTTTTTCTCAAACTGAATTATGAACACTGTCAATCAAGTTTTATGATTGACGGATACAAGAAAGCATCAATACTCAAAATCAATAGAATTGCCTACCACAGAACAAATCCGACAAAATACGCCAGCGGGTACCGATACGTAGATCCATACGGTATGATGCGAACCTGTCTCGGACAAGAATATTAAGCCCTGTGGGCCCCCTCAGCACTTCGTCGCTTCCTATCCCAGGATAATAAGCCCAATACAAAAACGCCAACTACGAAGTCAATGGCTTGATACACGAGTAGGTATCACAACATATTAAATAGACATGAACTAGTAAAAAGCCTACCGTAGATTTGACAGTACATAGATATCCGACGAGCGCGGCCCCACACAGACAGATCGCTTGTTAAATGAATATATATTGAATGTAGCACTATCTATAAATATATATATTCAGTAAATTTATTGCTGAGCACCCTGATTCCAATAACACGTCGTTCAACAATTCCCTCTGCAGCCTCTGTCGATGTGCCGCTGTGTTTCAGACTTTGGTCTTCGAAGCAGGTTTCCAGTTCAAAAACGTCGTCCCGGAATGGTTCCGGACCCACGCTGTGAACGTCGGTCTGGACCAGATCCGCTTCGTGACTGAGACTATTCAGTGCTTGTTCGCTGTGGAGTTCATCGAGTGGAAGAAATTCACGATGGGCGTGTTCTGCGAGGTGACGCCGGGCCGGGAACTGCGGTCAACAGCTCTGAAACCAGAAGCCCAAGGCGACTCGCCCATGACAGATGCGAGAGCCAGCCTTCTGGGAACAGCGTTTACGTCGCGCTTCAGAGTCACAGGGGTTCGGACCGCGAGGCGTTTTGTGGCGTCATCGTCAGGTGGTGATCCTGAAGTCAAGCGACCCCATAATGCTCCGTCGACTCTAATGTCCAGTGTCTCTATGCGGTCGTCGAGATCCTTCACCACATCACCATCTCGGAATTTGAGTTTTGATGCGGCCGTCGGCCCCCTGAAAATTGAAGACTCTGGTTCGAGTGGATCTGTGATTCTGTGCCGAGTGTGATGGGTCCGTCTGGATCCTCAGAGGGCTATTGACATGGGACCACGTCCGGAACGCAGGGTCCCTCTAGGGAAAGCTCTGCGTCATCGATGATGTCGATTCCTGAAGGACGAGTGCCTGCATACGCTGGAGCAAACATTGCCATGAGTATCCAAGCCCAAGAAGTCTAGAACGTGGAGGGTAACATGGGCATGTATTTGTCTCGTATTGTTATCCCTAAATTCTCAAAGGCAGTGGACCAAGATGATGTCGACATGGCGGAAGAAGATGACCCCAAGCCTCAGAATTGGGAGCGAGGTCGAACAGAAGGCTTGTGTCTGGAACGAGATGCACATCTAGATGTCACCAGCGTGACGAGTCACCAAATGACTCCGAAACGTCACGGGACAGTCGACATGCACCATCCAGTTCCAGAGACGACACGCTAACGCGGTCTTCAGTGTATGGGTTTAGAGCGAGAGGGCCAAGTAGGTCACGATGCACGTCCTTATCCAGGCGCTTGAGAGCTTCATCGTCTAGATCCGGGGCTGCTCAAGTTGTCATGAACGTCTTGCACCAGACTCAAGATAGATACGCCCAGATGCGCATGGAGCAAGACAGGAGGCTTGCGACCTTGGAGGAAAGACAGGAGTCCTTCCATGTCAGACAACACCAAGCACACCTCGATGTCCGTCTGGCTGGCGATCACCAGCTCCATAGCGCGATTCGCGGGGTGGAAGCCTTAGCTGGGCGCCTGGCGGACATGGAAAGTCGACGACAGTGTGCGGAGACGACCTCCTCGGAAGCAGCGGTGCAGGTGAAAGTCAAAGACCAGCCGCCTGCAAGCCTGGACACCGAACGCACCCAAGACCGCGTCAGGAAAGGCCTCGCGTCAGGAGCGTGAGCGCTTTGAGGCTGAATACGAGCAGCGTTGGCAACAGCGCATGGCGGAGGTTGAGCAGGAACGCGCGCGCTGGACAGCGTTGGCGACAAGAACCCTGGGCGAGCAGCAAGAAGCACTTGCATCAGAGCGGGCGAGTCTCCAGCAACTGAAGAACACGGAAAAACAGCGAAGAATCCAGGAAGCGTCTGAAACTCAACGCCTCCAGCAGCAGTTTCAGGATCTTCGTGCAACAGTAGCGGCCCTACTCCACCCTGATGCGGCAACTGTTCCCAAGTCGGATGCTATAGGAAGCCCTGATTCGGCATCTCAGAAATCAGGCGCGACCTCTGTAATCAAGGATGATGCAAGGGAATGTTTCGCCTATGTCCTGGTAAAGATCCTCACCGAAGTTGTTCTTTCCCAGCTTCGACCTACACTGCCAGGAGCGAATGATGAACCCAGAGTGAAAAGCATCAAGGCTGGGGGAAGAGCTCCATCTGCTTCCATGGCCCAGCCGATTTCAGACGCCGGTGAATCTGGTTTCAGACAACTCAATTCCGGAGACTCTGGATCGACGAAGTCTGGGTCGGGAAAGAAGGGCACCATCAGGCCTGAATCTAGGAAGCCCTCGGCCCGGAAGGCTTGAGAAGACCTGGGGTCACCTCCTTCTGACCCTGGAGATGGTTCGGGCTCAAATAGTGACGATGGAGATGACAGCGTCTCCAGCTCAAGTGGCTCGGAGGATAGCCTTGACAATGATGATGGTTTCGGCACCGCCGCGTCTAAGACGCCACGGATGGTACTACGGTTTAGAATTTCAGGCCATATATCAACTACAATGCGGCGAGAAATTTAATTACATTGCGCCAAAGGATGACCGAGTCAATTGGTGGGAACGTTTCACTGACATGGCGGCACAAGGCACCTGGCTGACAAGATGAAAATCCGCCAGTTCCGGAGTCGGATGCCTGCCACGATCAAATA